TGAATGAATATCTGAAAACATCACATATCTATTGACATTTTTGTTACAATGGAATAATTCCCTAGTTATCTTCACTTAAACTACTGTCCCTTCAAATATTTCTTTCTTTTTTTTTTTTTTTTTTTGCTTTTTAAAACTCTATTTAAACATAACTATGCTTACAGAAATACACTCATATTGGTTAATAGAATGCAATTTAAGTTTAACTTATCCTACACAATTTGGACCAAAAACTTGGTACATGGTTTAAAATTTTAAATAAAGGATTTGCAATCTGGTTTATTTTCATCTAATACAAATGTATAAAAGATCCATCAAATGCTGCTAAAGGCGGCACCTTCAGATACTTCTTTATCATTTTCTTTCATTTGTTCAAATCATACTTTTGGCAAACTGAACTCTCCTGTGGTCTGTTTGGCTCTATCTTTTTAAAAAAATATAACATTTGCCTTTAATTTCTTTAAATTAATCTAGTTCTTAATATGATTTATTTTTTCTACATCTATGTCTAGATTAAATGGTTTACTTTTACCAGTATATATCTCTCAGAGGTTATATTCAAGTATTTTCAAGTACTCTCACAGAAGTTGCCCAATGTCTTCTATTTGACAAATTCTTAGAGCTATTATAATCCCCTAATTTTGCAGATGAAGACATTTTGATATAAAGAGGTTAATGTTGCTCAAAACTGGCAGGAGATATCAGCAAGGATGATACTGTAATCTGGTTTTTGTTTTGCTTCCCAATTTTATGTTCATTCATATAAACACACTGTGATTCTTAGTGACTTTTTCCTATCGTCATTTTGCATTCCTGAATTTTTTCAATTTGTTACTTTTTCTAACTGTATTTTCCACTTGGGTCAAACTATATTACTTCTCCTCCCTGAAATTGATCCATGTTTTTCTGCCTTGCTTTTGCTTTAAAAGTTCTCTTTATTCCCACCCACCCAAGAATAACTTACCTTTTCAAATTCCTTCAATTGTTAAATTCAACCTTCGATCTCTATAGCATAGTATTTTGCACAGACTAAGATATTTGATTCTTTTTTTTTTTTTTTAATTTCAGCATATTATGGGGGTACAGATGTTTAGGTTACGTATGTTGCCCTTGCGCCCCCCACCCCACCAAGTCTGAGTTTCAAATATGTCCATTTTTCGGGTGGTACGCATTGCACTCTTTGTGTATGCAAATACCCGTCCCCTCCTCCCTCCTCTCCCCTCCCCCCTGCCCAACATCCAATAGATGTTATTTTTATATGTGCACTTATGTGTTGATCAGTTAATACCAATTTGATGGTGAGTACATGTGGTGCTTGTCTTTCCAT